TTTAAGTACATTGAAACCCAATTTCTAAATATTGTGCTTGTCATCTGACAAGGCAATATGCCCAAGGGATGATGTAGTTCGTTTGGGGGTATGTTACTGTAAAGAGTAACACTTTGTGGAGACAAGTGCGTTTTTTGAACTGAGAAAGTGTATTTCACCAAAAACCTCATAGTGGTTTTGGTAATTCATCTGAACACCAGTAATAGTAAATCCTATTGAAGCTATGAACTAGCCAAAATTGTATGCTAAAATATGAAGGTACTCACCTAACAGAATCATGGTTATAACATTGAATTTTTTACTGGATTGAGGTAATTTTCCCCACCTCTCTCAAAAAGAAGTATACAATGCACATCTGACATGCAGATATTCAATTTTTAATTGGATTAAGGAAACTTAAGGTCATACCTGCATCTTTTTAAAGTGTTTAATTTGTGTCCAAGTTGATTTGATATAGGGGGCTTGAATAACATAAAAATAGACACATCTCCCCCCTGTAATATTTTTGATTATATATGATTGAAATGGAGCTAAATGACTATGCTTTTTAGTGCTCCTTTTATCATTCTGTTATTTAATGACATATTTATCTATGAGCCTGTTGCTGGATGCAGGCTGTTGTGGTGGAATTGACTACTCCATGCACTCCTGGTTGCAGAGGCAAAGATGGTACCAATGGAGAAGTGGCTCCTGGCAATGTGTTTTCCATTCAACATCTTATGCCTGTTGGTAATGATTCTCGAAGTGTTAACTGATCTGATTCTAAGGATTCTAATTCTGCCAAAATACAGAAGACCATAGCCTCAAAGGAAAACATCTTGGCAAAAACTGCTTTGAGAGTTCTACATAGTAAAAGAGATGAACTGGGTAGATTTTTTTTTTTTTTCTTTTACTTTGTTGAAACAATTCCCAAGATGCATGCCTCCTTTGACTTGGCAAACACAAAGATAACTGGATTGATAATTAATATGGAGTTGATTACAACTTCAGGTTTATGTTGATGAGATTGATATAATGATTGTGTGAATTTTTGAAGTGAATTTCGCTATTTTGAATTAAAACTGCGAACTGTGGATATTCCAGTTGGTTGATTTTACCACACAGATTTTATCAGTTAGTGAATCTCGTTGATTTGATTATTCTGGCTCTTCTATTTCATATTCACTGTTGGTTCATTGTGTTCTTTTGCATCTTCCTTTCTTGTGAAGATGCTTTTAAATTTTATATAAAGTATGTTGTTTATCCTCAGGTTCTTAACCAGCGTCTCATAGAGGATAAGATTGCTCAGTATGATAAAAAGATCCAGACAATTATGAGTGGTATGTTTTCACAGTTTTCTTTTCTGTTATTCATCTCCTTAATGATACAACTATCCTATACCCTTTTTCCTTTCTAGCATTACTTCATTAGTATTTGGAAATGGCAGACTACCAATTAAAAATCACTAAAATTGGTCTTAGTATGTAGTAATTATCATAAAATTGCAATGCTTAACAGTGGCTCTGTTTATAAAGGAATAGAAAAGGAAGAGCATATCAAGTAAAATTGGAGGTTCCAGTTTAGTACATGTTCAGCCTGCCTGCACTATGTTCTAGGTAATTTTCTTTGCAGTAAAAGATCTCACTATATTTGCTTGAACTGTCATATTCTGTGCTTTTTGTCAGAAATTTTTTAAGACCTGTAGCCAGCAAGTTAAAGGAACTGAAATTTTACAAAATGCATAGATGCTGTAGTAAAGAGGTTATGCTGGTTAAAAGATGATTGTGCTCAGGTAGATTTCTAAAAGTAATTAAATTCTATTCTCATCATCCACATCTTTCCTCATTGAAATCTGGGTTGCTTATTTGATATTGTGAGCTATTACACTGGTTTCAATTGGTAAACCAGTCAATATCATTGAGAAAAATAACTATTATATTAAGAATGACGGAAGTATTACCCTTTCCGGGCATTTGCATCCTGGTCTGTAATTTAATGATTTATAGAAAATAAAAATTAACCATAAAACTTGAGTGTTATGTAAGGCTCTTAATTGCTCTAGAGAGCAAATTACGGGTCAATAATCTGAACAGAATTTGGGATAAGGGGTGGTGACTTTTTAGCTTGCTTAGTCTTTATAAATTAGCAGGTTCATTTTAGAGGCTGCGACCGAAATAACCCATTGCACTCTTCATTGGATTAAATTTCAAATAACTTAAAACACGCATATTTCAATTTGTTCTCTGTAGGTGGCGATGATGATCTGGAATTAAAGATAGATTCCATTGTAGAAGGCTGTGATAACATCAAGAGGGGACATTTATCGAAGGAAGTTGTGGAAATGCCAAGTCCATGCTGGGCAAGTTTGACCTTCAAATTTATGCTTGTTTTCACCATATGTTTATGGAGTTTTAAAAGTGTACTCCCTACATTGTCTGATGGTTTCTTTCTTCTTAGACTATTGTTGAATTCCAGATTTGAGATTTTAGGCTTTTTCCCTGGGTTGCGCGTAACAGCTGTATTTAATTGTTTCGACAGGAGTTGGATGATATGTGCTATAAGAACAATTGGAGCCTGCCAACTTATCATGTATCAGCATTGGATGGTAACATCTTCTAAATTCCATCTGTTAGATAAATAATGTTATACTACTAGGTCCATGTCATATAACTGCTCATATCTTCTGTCTGATGAGGTTTGGCAGAAAGATTCATTTTTGTTTTAAATTCAAAATTTTTGCTCTGTCATATCTAATTTCTTACAATGACATTGTTCACTTTCTAGTCTAATGGATTTGTAAAACTCCTGTCTGGATCTTTGAGTTGATGGTTGATCGTGGTGACTTTCGATGAGATGATGAACATATGAACCATGTTCTACTCTACCTAATGTTTGAGCAATGTTTCCACAACTCTAATGTTTGGAATGGACTGGCATTGATCTCTAAGAACTAATTAGTCTCTTTTCAATTTTTGAAGGTGGATTTCAGGCTAGTATAACTCTAAAAGAGATGGATTTTCAGTTAAAAAATTTAAATCAATATATACATGTTGTTATATAATATATAGTTATAATTTTAGAGTTCCTTTTTTAAATTTTTTTTGAGGTGACTGGAATCTAGAAATTAGGCACGGATCCGGCCGGAGTCAAGCTACTTCGCCGGATTTTAGGAAATATCTTTGGAGTCCTTTTTAATTTCTTATTGTTTTATTTTTCATTTTCCTTTTCTTTTGGAATTAAACATCTGATCCATAAAGTTGTTACATAGGATTTATCAAACACCTAGTCTACATGACACAAAAAGCTTCTAATCTACCTTGACCATTCTCTCGAAACCTCCAAAAAAAAAAAAAAAAAAACCAACCTCATCATGCAAATCAGTCTCAAAAAAAATAAAGAAAAAAAAGAGAGTAAATACAGCACTTAACCTAGAACTCCAGTATCTAAAACCACGACATAACATGCATGCTTTTACATATATTCCTTTGACTCAATTAAATTAGAACTCTAGCAATCAATATGGGCAAAAAGCTATTAATATCAGGATTGTGCACCTTAAAATGACGATAAAACCATGATTCCTTTTAGTAATTGAATTACTCTGTTCAAAAATGCTTGCTTCAATCTGTCCACTGCAAAATGATGCTTCTTGACTTACCGTTCACAACTAAGTTTAAATAGTCTAGAATAATGGTCTCTATTCAAATTAGCCATAACTGCCTAGCTGATCAACTAGAGTAGTCTAAAGAGATGGAACACACAATTTAATTAAAAAATAGTGCAAAGTAGGAATCAATGAAAAGTAAATTAAGTGGTACTAATTCATGAAAATTGAATTGCATTATTCAAACTTGGCATGGATGAAGGTACATCCTAGCAGACATAAATTAGTTACATTATTACAACACTAGAATCTTAGAATATTATCCAAGATTAAATAGTAGCAATTGGTGACACATCTCTCAATCAAATAAAACCATGCCCTTCGCCAATATGGATTTATGTATAGGACTGCTCCAATTGATAACAAAACAATCACATAAGTAACTAAAAAACTTATATAGAAAACATCCATGTCTATCAAACTGCCTTCTCTTTTTTCATTTAAGGAATTTGGTACCTTTGGTTGTGCATTAGTTTCCTTGCAACTTTTTTCCAATGGAGGTCCACAAAGAAGCGGGTTTCCCTCATAACTGTTTTTGTCAAAGGTTCCAAACTGTCCTTTTCCATATGGGATAGGACCTGAAAGATTGTTGTGTGCAACACTAAAAACTGCCAAATAGTTTAGCTCCATAAGTGGAGATGGAATCTCACCATTCAAACCATTGAAAGAAAGGTCCAAGCTCTCAAGTTGTTTCAAATTTGAGAAGGTAGAAGGTATGGGTCCAGTTAAGTTGTTGTGGGACAAGTTAAGTGAATGAATGTCACTCAAGTTTCCCATTGCAAGTGGGATTAAGCCTGTTAATTGGTTGCAAGAGAGATCAATTTCAGACATGTAACCAAGAATGTTGCCTTCATAAGTGTAAGACCACCACTTGGTAACAAGGTCTATCCGATCTTTTATATACCTATCCAATTGTGTATATACCTCTTGCATTAATGTAGTTTCCATTTCTGTGGATGCATCAAGGTTCAATATTGGATATTCCCTAATAGCACTCCGTGTTGAAAATGAATTTGGAGCAACAATTAAATGTCCCAAACAAGAAGGTATATGACCTGAAAGTTGATTATGAGACAAATCTATGATTCGTAGTTGGTCCAACTTACATATTTCATTCGGAATTTCACCAAAAAAGAGATTACCTTTTAGAAGCAAGATACTCAGGTAAGAAAAGTTGTTGATCCATTTTGGAATGCTTCCTGACAAATTGTTGTTGCTAATGTCCAATATGCGTAGATATGAAGAGCTAGAAAAGTGGACATTGGATATCTCTCCTTCAAAATTGTTTCTGTCCAGATACAATGCATCCAATGATTGAAGCTTAAATACACTAGGAGGTATTTTCCCAATCAAGTTGTTATTTGAAAGTCTAAGATGAACTAATGATCTTCCTGTAACAAACTCTTTTGGTAATGTTCCAGATAATTGGTTGCTAGACAAGTCTAAAAATTGTAAAGAGTTCATACTAACCAACCACTTAGAAAATCTTCCTCCAAAGCCATTTCCAGACAAGAATAACCATGTTAAATATGGAAAAATCATACTGATATTTAATGGGATTTCACCTTGTATTTGGTTATTCGAAATATCTATTTCCCAAGCATCAAGATTAGGTTGTGATGGCAAGTGGAAAGAACCCATGAAAGAATTGTTCTTCATAACAGCAACCCGTAATCTTGTATTATTTTCAAACAACCAATAAGGTAAGGCTCCCATAAATTGGTCAAATGAAAGATCAACATATCTCAAGTCATATAGGTAATAGAGAAGGCTAGGAGGTTTAGTGAGTTCCTTATTTGCTCTACAGTTTGACAAACTAAGGACTCTTGGCTGGAACTTGGGAACCCTTGTTTGAACATGATCATGTTCTGGAACCAATTGATTGAAATCACCTAAGAAGACTTTAAGGTTGGAATGATTTGCAAATGACTTGAAGGAATCTGGAACTTGAAATTTATTAGTAGAAATTGAGAGATATCGGAGCAAAATAAGATTAATTAGGGGAGAAGACGCAACATTTCCAGTGAATAGATTTTGGGAGATGTCCAAAAGTCGAAGAGATGTCAAGTTAGACAAGCAAGAAGGTAGTATCCCTACAAATTCATTTCCAGAGAGATCCATCTCTTCAAGGTTCTTCAAATCACACCAACCTTGAGTTGGTAAGGTTCTTGTGAATCCACATTTTCTTAGAGATATTGACCTAAGAGAAGTCAATGCACCAATATTTTGCAGAAAGTTTATGCTAAGAGGGGATTGATCCAAGAAAAGTTCCTCTAGATTGCTCAAAACTTGCGAAGCTGCAAAATGGTTATCATATTAGTTGTGAATATGTGTTTTTTGAAAAAAAAAATTATGAGTATATAGAAATTGATTTAAAAAACACAAGCAATAATATTGTAGAATGCCATCTATGTAATACTTACTTTGAATAAACATGGTTTCGTTTAGATGATAGTTATATGTCAAATAGAGTCTCTTAAGTGATGGGAATGCCTCTAGTGATAACTGTGCTGGCACACTGCTTTCCTCAGGAAATATTTGATTAAGATGAAGAGTTTTTAACTTGCTAAAGCTTGTATTTGCTGTGGATGATAAAAAGAAAATGAAGATTATGTTGAAGAGTTTTGAAAAAAACATATAATTAGTTGAAAGATACGTCTCTATCAAAACGAAAAATAAAACAAACATATAGTCACTATATCATTTGATTGATACCATTAGTGGAAACGAATTGGTTGAGTTCGTTGTAGCTCATTAGTAGCTCTTCTAAGCATCTTAAAGCATCAAATTCTAGGAGAACCACAAAAAAAGTTATTAGATCACACATAAGTAACAAATAAACTGCTTTCAATGTCTTAGCAAGAAAGAAAAAACGATTAAAGTATGCCTCAACTTACTTGTGACATCTACTAATCCTTTTAGATTATTAGCTTCTATATTCAGAGATTTTAGATTTGAAAATTCATTGACGGAAGATAGCACACTATTGTTGAAGCAATTAGAACTCAAATCAAGGACCTCTAGATGGACAAATCTCAAATGTTGTTCATCTGCCAAAAATATATGATCTCATTACAACCAATTTTGTTAATATTAAATATTAACTTAGGAAACAAATTAAATATATGTACCTTGGGAAGATTCAAGGCTTTCAATGTCATTAGAACTTATGTCTAACACCTTTAAGTTTCTCAGATTACTCAATTCTGTTTAAGCTCATCATTAAAATAAAAGAATGAAAAATATGTTTAATTCCAGTAAAATATTACAGGATAACACAACTTTTTAAGGGAAAAGATATAATAAAAATGAAAACGGGTGAAAGCAAGCTTAATTACCTCTTGTACTCAAAGTGCCATTTAGTCTACAATTGGACAAGATTAGAGCTTTTAGAGAAGAAAAACTACTTAAATATGATAGAATGCTGTTGTTGAAGTCCTTATTATCACTTAAGTCGAGAAATTCCAGATGGCGAAATCTTGACAGCTTTTTAAAATCAGCTCCTACAAATTACAATTTCAGAACATGAAGTCTTTATTTAAAATGATAAATATTATATCATCTCTAATAAACATATAATAAAATTTGTTAAATTTTTACCGTCTCTACGGTTTGATGCTATCATTAAGTTGCAGCCTCTCAAACTCAAAGACTTGAGAGATGGAAGCTCAACCAAAGATGTTAAGATATTAATATTTAAGTCATTGCCACTAAGATCAAGGATTTTCAAATTTCTCAAATTAGAAAACCTCATGAAACCTGCAATATAATTTTTTGCAACTCATACAAGTTAGTTATGGGTTCAATTTTGAGAATAAAAGAAATATAAATTGCAAGAG